CCCAACAAAAAATTTTCAGGGCCCCCCAGCACCTCGGGGCCCGGGGCAATTCCCCCCCCCCCTGCCCTCCCCCTCTCGGCGGCCCTGACAATAAGATATTATATCTTATATGGTTAAATTAACCACTGCATGAACAGAGAACATTGATTCGTAATCAAACTTTTTACGAAACAAATTGAAACAAATAGCTTGCAGCAGACTGGCGTTGCTTTTGGATTAATTAAATTTGCATAATCTCAACGGTGGAAGAATGTGATTTCGACCGGCAATTTTTATTTGACGAGTATATGCCCATTTCTCATCGTTATGATTTTAAAAAGGTATCATTGAAAAGCTAAATAACAGCTCTTTCGTCCTATGTAAAAATTGAATTGTTTAGCTAAGGGACTGCTCATTATTTATTGTACAGGGGGAGACTGAGGAGAAACTCTACAATTATAATATTTTTTCGTTGCCCCCCTCTTAAGTAAAATTTTCAAAGTCCCCTCCCCCCAACAGGCAAAACAAGAACATAAATTTTGGTCCCCCCTCTAGCTCTTTATCTTTATTTAGAGAAACAAAAACTCTAGCTCTTTATTTAGAGAAACAAAAATAGATAATGGGGACCAATAGACAATTCCCATTATAGACTAATTTTTTATCTTAGCAAAAAAAGTATATTCCCGGGAAGGGCATACTAAAATTAGTAAAATTGCAAAGTTTGGTTGCGAAATGTTGTAAAATATGTAAAAAATATAGCCTTCCAAAGATTGCAAATTTTGTATACTTTTGTATTGCAATTTTCGCATGCAATACAAAAATATACAAAATTTGCAAACTTTGCAATGCTATATTTTCCGTATTTTATAACATTTCGCAACCAAACTTTGCAATAATTTACTTATTTTAGTATGCTCATTGTAGCTGTAGTTTATTTGCATCAAGGCCGGATTTTGAGGGGAGGTGTGGAGAAGTGCGCACCTCCCCTGAGATCGTTTTGTACCTCCCCTGAGAATTTTTACACTTCTCCTGAAAGGTCATGCACCTCCCCTTGGGAAAGTTTCAGTGATGGAACAAAGTGAAAATGTGATGGTTGCTTAGGATCTACACTTCGTGACGTAAGAAAGTTTTCTCTGTAAAATTGAAACAGTGATAGCCATTCATATCTGTGTCAAGTACCCTTTTAATGCAATGTTTTGAAAGAAACTTTGTAGCAATTGTAGTGAAGGGCAAGATTGGAGTCATATACATTCATAATTCATTAATACACTGGTACATATGTACACTACAGGCATACCTCACTTCATTGATATTGGCCTGCTCTACAATAAGCCCTAACTTTCCATGGGAGTTGTCAGCTAGACCGCTGCACCTGCCCTAAAATTTTTTCCACCTTCCCCACTATTTTCACCGAAATCTGGCCTTGATTTGCATCTTTTTGCCTAGTTCTAAAATTAGTCTATAATGGGGATTGTCTAGTTACATGAACATAAGTGACTTTTTATTTGGCTTCCATTTATGAATATTGAAGGTCTATAAACATTATTGTTTGTTAAGTTGTTAGTTTGTTAATATTTTCGAAGCCCCCCTTCTTTCGTCTCTCTGTACTTTTTCAAAGCCCTCCCTTTCAGGTTTTAAAAAATTTAAAGGTCCCCCAGTTTCTCCTCAACCCCCGTACAATAAATAATGAGTGGTCCCTAAGTTTATGATGTACGACAGCCTGTTGAATTTCCATAGCGTTTTTTTTAGACACTCTGTATTTTTCATGCAGTTGTATCACTCGCAATCCACAGTTATCTTGTCATAGTCTAAACTTTACAAAAGAATCACTACGCGTGCATGCATGCATCTGTGCCAAATTTAAAAACCCCGAAGACTGTTTTTCAACATTCTTTGTAACCTAAAACAAATAGGAAATGTGTTGATGTTGCTTGTTCAGTTATAGATATACAATGGACGTCATAACATGGCAAGAACTTCATACCACATTATGACGTCACTTGTGTATCATCGGTAAACAAGTGATCAATAATTAAATCAATTAACAATATTAATGTATTTTATTGATTAGACGCGGAAGATGTTTGTTTGGTGAGCTTTACAAAAGGTCAGTTGGACAGAATGAGCTGGATCCTCGATATGTATAAAAAAGACCTCAAATCAATCGCTTACAGTAAGTAACCTTATTGCTTTTTGCAATGCTACAAATAACACTACATGTAAATCCTATTGATCTACACTTCGAATTCTTGAAACTGCAAATGCATCTATTCAGTATAAATAACTATATATCATGATTTGTATATTATTATGTGTATCATTATATATTTTAACATTTATATCATTATATATATTATGTATATCATTATATATTTTATATATTTTAATATTAATTAATCTATTTATTTATATATTTATTAACTTTTCAACTTTTACACATAACAAATAGATATTAAATTTAAGAATATATAATATACACATAGATGAAAGACAAATACGGTGGAAGCCGTTATGTCAACAGGAGAAGAATTCCAAGGAAGACAACAATAGTTGTAAAAAATTTCAAAGACATGCACAAACACATGCACATTAGGGTTGCAACAACAAGTATGGTTGTTGGAACAAGTGGGTAAGTCGTGGGTAAGTCCACCAAGTGGACATGATACTAACATTAAAGGCATATATTCAAGTTTGAAAAGGTGTCAGTGAGAATACTGAAAGAAGAAATAAAGGTATACATTTGGTGATATACTGTAAACGGGAAAGAAAACCAATCCGGTTGAAAACTAAGTGTCTAAAAAGCGAAGTTCTGCAAAAATTAGTAGTTAGTAATTTGGTTCGTTCGAGTGCGAGAGACAAGAGTCTTAAGAGAAAGTGACAAATAAGATCTAGATCAGAAAGACCTTACAAACATTTGAAAGAGAAGAGAAGGACCTTTATACTTCCAGCCAGAAAGATATTTGAAGCAATTTGAGTCATTGAGCGCTTTGAGAAGCTCAGGATAAGACAAATGTTTTGTATATAATCGAGTTGTACATACATTAATTTTAAATACCATACCACATTTGGCAATGTGCAATTATTCCACGTTTTATTTAAACATGGAATATTTTCGTTCCCAGGACCATGCAGTGTTGACTCTGTGTTTCGATGGAGTGATGGTTGGATCTACTTCTTCTCTGGTGCGAGTTACTATAGTTACGATGAAACAACACAAAGTATTGACTCTCGCTATCCACGAGCAATCAACGACCACTGGCGAGGTGTTCCGAATAATATCGACGGTGTATTTTGCTATTCTGATGACGTCACATATTTTTTCAAGGGTTCAAATTATTACAGATTTAATGACAGCACACTTCAGGTTGATCCCGGATATCCAAAGAAAATTCAAGATTTTTGGAAAGGAATACCAAATGACATTGATGATGTCATAAAGTGAGTGTGATTATTGAGGCTACTAGCCAGGTTCCAAAAATGAAAGATTATGCATGATTTTCAGTTGCTAGATAATGACAGGCCACACATAGCATGAAAAATTATGCATGATTTTCAGTTGCTGGATAATGACAGGCCACACATAGCATGAAAAATTTGTCTTCTGATTTGTTGCGAAACCAGCAAAAAGTAATTTACGCAGAGAGTGAGAGCACCGCGTAGCTACGTGGCTAGAAACAAAGAAGTACCAAATCGTAAATTTGCCGTGTTGTTGTGAAAGTGCGAATTATCGTTTCAGGAACACCAACGGTTACACGTATTTTTTCAAGAAAGGCGAGTTTTATCGATTTGACCCAAAAAGTCGAAACGTTGATGCTGACTATCCCAAACCAATGGAAGATTACGTAAAGGGAATTCCTAAAAATATCGATGCAGCATTCACGTGGTATAATGGCGGGGTGTACTTCTTCAAGGAAAACATGTTTTGGTATTTCAAAATTGAAAAGAATGACAATGATATGACCCAGCAATCGTATCCTAAATCAATCAATGTTTGGTGGAATGATTTGCAGAATTTTACAGGCTATTCAGTGTTTAGGTAATTGCAAAATTGTTTAGTTTTTGACTCGTGTTGTTCATTCTGTGCCAGCGTAGGTAGTGACAAAAACACCAGAAAACTGTGGATTGATAAGGATTCAACTGCCTGAAAAAAACAAGTAAAAACGAAACATCGACGTTTCACTCGTATTTTGCTGGTAGTGGACTGATCCCTATCCATCCTCAGCTTCCTAGTCAGTTTAATTTTTGGTCTTTATTTGCTGAGAAATATGTTGGCAGAGAAAAAAATTCTTTATCCTACTTAAAATATCAGTAATAATTCATGATTCAAAATAAATTAATGTTCAATATCTGTAAATCAGATACAGATTTCGTTCTGATTGAATTTACATAAATTTTAGCTTGGTTACTATATTCCCAAATATGGCACTTTCTCGATATATGCATAACCTTATCCTGAACTTCCCTTAATCCTGAACCTCCCTTAATCCTGCACCTCCTTAATCCTGCAGTGTATTCATTCACATTTAATTTCGGTTGAGCATATATCGAGAAAGAGCCCAAAATGGCATTTTCAATCCTTGGTAAATTTCATTACTTAATATTTAATCCATTCGTATCCCATCAATATAAGATTTTAACAGTATTACTCATTCACAATCATTTTTCGGACGTAGAAATGTTCTGAAGATTTTAAAATAAAGAATTCGTTCCACAATTGGCATAAAATATTACGCATATCATGCATTTTACTTGTGTTTAATTCATTTACGCAATAATTGTTTTTTGTATAGTTTACATCCGCAACAATCTGATCACAACAACTGACATTTAAGAAAGGGTCAAAACTTTTCAGGATCAAACCATAGCAGTCCAATGGCTATGCGTGTCAAATATTTGACTAAACTGTGTCAAATATGGCGGAAACTCGTAATAAATCGGTCTAGATAACAATGCAATTCTGCAGTTCTGATTGCCTTCTTACTGGATAATCTGGCGACGTCACTCACAACCTCGTTCCCAGGCTTTTTAGAAACCTGGGAACATAGTTGCGTCACTCATTGTATACTAATTAGTTATATTGAAAAAATCAATCTGAAATTAGTATGCAATGAGCTCGAGTGCTCAGAACCGCAGAATTTCCATTATCCCAGATACTTGCCATTATCTAAAAAAATTCTAATCATTGCGCATATTTCAAATACATGTTTTCAAAATTCATTGTCACTTATCTGTTGATGAGTATTATCTCTGTTCTTAGAGAATGCAAATGGAGAACATATTTCGTGTCAGCTGACCAATATTGGGAATATATTGATCATAGGGGAAGTGTTGATCTATTTTCTCCTCGATCACTATGGAATGGCATGCCAAGCAAGATTGATGGAATATTTGTGTGGAGTAATGACTATCTCTATGTTTTCAGTGGAACAGATTTTTATCTTTTTGACCCAAAAACAAAAGCATTACTTCAAGGTTATCCTCAAAAGATTGCTTCGTTTTGGAAAGGCGTTCCAAACAATATCGATGCTGTATTCAGGTATATAGATATTTAAAGAAGTGTTCACCTAAATAATAGAAGTTTCGCATTTGACTTCCACTACCGCTACCTGTACATTGAAGCATATAATAAAATGCATTTAATTTACCCCATGATGTAATTAGGAAGAGGAGAGACAGTATCCCCAAATGACGGATATTGACCCGCGTGGAAGGCTAATCTGATCAGACGTGTACTCGGTGCGTGGGAGATAGCGGTTCCTTGAAATCTGAACATCTCTGATACACCCTTCCGGAAAGTACTTCGTCATTCTGGCTGTAGAACCTAATTTTCATGATTACGATATTTTATTTGT